TCCACTACGCAATCACAGTAAAGCTCCAGTGTGTGTGTGTGTGTGTGTGTGTGTGTGTGTGTGTGGCAGCAGCCATACACAGCGCCACGGTGTAGGAGGATGTCAGCTATAGCTTCTGTCTCCTCCTCCTGCTGGTGCTCTTGTTGACAGTGTGAGTCTTAGCTTGAGCGGCTTTACCTCCCAGCTGTAGAGCGTGTGTTGTGCCTCGTGACTATAACAGGATATCTGAGGATGTGTGGTGCTTCTGATATCCTGCTTCCTCTCTCCTTCCCTCCCTCACTTCCTCCTTCAACTCGTCCTTCATCTCGTCTTTCCCTCTCATTCTCCCCCACCCTCCCCCCCTCCTTCCCTTTCACCTTCCCTCCCTCCCTTTAATCCTGTCTCCTTCCCTCCTTTTAACCCACCCTCTCTCCTTAACCCACCCTCCCTCCCTCTCTCCTTAACCCACCCACCCACCCTCCCTCCCTCCCTCCATCTCCCGACCGACCTAATATTTTCACCCATATATGGGACAGGGTAGGATGTCTAGTGCCTGTACCGACAGACAATAACTAACCCATGTCACAACCCTAACACACTATTAGCTTACCTAGGCGGTCAGCCCACCCTCTCTTACCTCCTCCTAAATTTCTTCAATTTCCGAACTATAACTTTCTTCCCCCACCTCTAATCTTATTTCACCCTCCTTTCCCTAAAAAAAATAAATAAATAAATAAAAAAAATCGTCAGCGTCATTCAACAGGCCGCCACCCCTCTTGGGCCTCTCACACACCGACACCTATACCACCCAACCTCTTTCAGGGCGGCTTCCATAGAGCTCCCCTTCGCACGATTTGATCAGGTCTCGCTGGCTGGGTGGGTGGCTGGGTGAAAGAGGAAATGGTATACTGAGGGATAACTGAATGATTATTTGATCTTGTCCTATACCTCTCTCCTAATCCCTTATCATCTCTCTCTCTCTCTCTCTCTCTCTCTCAATACAATTTCACCGCCGCCATCTTTACGTAGCGTCTTTTATACGTACTAATTAAATATGTCTTAACATCTCAGACGGTATAAGAGAACGAATGAGTGACTCCAAAACACAGTTATGTAATTAATTGTGTTGCACCGGATGTTTATTTGCTCACATTAGTTCATAATCCCGTTTCTTGTTTCCATTTGGACGACCTTTCCTGAGAGACACTTGACTGACTGCGGAGATAAGCAAAGAGAAGCTTTAGTAAGAGACAACAATCTTCTCAGGGCTGACATGTGAGGGGGGCGGTCACGTGGCCACACCTGTAGGACACACACACACGACCTGGTGCTTCTCAGAGTAAGACAGAGGGGGATTTGTTTTGCTTCGGTGATAGAGATGTTTTGAGTTGTGGAGAGCGAGTGTGTGTAGGGAGGGAGAGGTGGGTGGATAGTGACGGGGGTAGGGAGAGAGTTGTTGGTATTGACTGGAGGGGGGAGGGGAGTGTTGGTATTGACGGGGGAGGGAGAGAGTTGTTGGTATTGACTGGAGGGAGGAGGGGAGTGTTGGTATTGACGGGGGAGGGAGAGAGTTGTTGGTATTGACTGGAGGAGGAGGGGTGTTGGTATTGACGGGGGTAGGGAGAGAGTTGTTGGTATTGTGGGTATTGACTTGTTGGTATTGGGGGGGAGGTTGGTATTGACGGGGGAGGGAGGATTGTAGGCAATGACGAGAGTGTGTAAAAACTCACCTGTTGCTCCATTCCCTTCACCCCCACACACCCTCACCCCACGCCCCCACACACCCTCACCCTACACACCTCACCCCCGCACCCTCACCCCACACCCCCGCACCCTCACCCTACACACCCTCAACCCCGTACCCCCACCCCCACACACCGTTAATAATTATGAAGCAGTTGTCGTCAGCACCTGAGTGTCACCGCACGCGTCAGTAACTTCACAATAAGAGCTCCATGACAAACCTTCTAACGTGTGTTTGTTGAGCACAAGATATAAACATAATAAATTATACAGAATTATGTATATCTCTCCGTAAAGTAACCCAAAAAATATTACTACTGTATAAATGTGAGTCTTGAGGAGCGTGGTACTTGGTCTGTGTGTGGTATAAACATTACAGAGGAAGAGTAAAGTTTCAGATATAGTGTTGAAAACAGCTTCTGTCTTTATTTACCGTTTTTTCGTTTTAATTTACCGTTTTGTGATTTAATTTACCTCTCTGTTGTTGATAAGTTTACCATTCATTATCCTGTGTTAGTACAGGAAGAAACTGGCGCTCACTGAACTCTGGGAAACTAGAACGAAAGCCAAGTATTTTTTTTTTTAAGTTTTTCTTCCAACAAAAATTCAATAAAATATTTCATTAGGATACGGAGTAAAAAAAAATTGTATTCCTTGAAAGAATTGGTTTGTTATATATCTGTCTCTAATAAACAAACGATCATGTGATGTTTGACGATACTGTAATCGCTTTTTAAAAGACAAAGTATATTTTAGTATAGTCCTCCTTACACTATATCGTATGTTGTATTAGAGAAAATGATTTTTCTTGAGGGATAACTTGAATATTTTCCTATTTTATGTGTTAAAATGAGTGATTGATTGATTGATGTGTTTAGAATTTATAGTTCCATCAGTTTTGACAAAGTGATCTCCATAGAGGTTAGTTCTCACTAATAATAACTAATAATAATATTTATTCCATTAAATTGTCGTACAGGTTTACAATTAGATAGGTATGTGTATAAACTATGCCAGCATACTGTTCAGCATGAATATAGACAGTGTTAGGTATACGGTAACAAGACGTACAATCTTTATAAATATAGTTTTGTATTAATATATTTATGTATGAAATATTAAATGCGAGAGAAGTTTAATAATTTCTACGATGTTTTCTTATACGTAGATTATTAGCGTTGTTTTGGCTGTATCTATTGATGTTGCGTCTGTAGCCATTGATGTTGCGTCTGTAGCCATTGATGTTGCGTCTGTAGCCATTGATGTTGCGTCTGTAGCCATTGATGTTGCGTCTGTAGCCATTGATGTTGCGTCTGTATGTTGCGTCTGTAGCCATGTCTGTAGCCATTGATGTTGCGTCTGTAGCCATTAATGTTGCGTCTGTAGCCATGATGTTGCGTCTGTAGCCATTGATGTTGCGTCTGTAGCCATTGATGTTGCGTCTGTAGCCACTGATGTTGCGTCTGTAGCCATTGATGTTGCGTCTGTAACCTGTGATGTTACGTCTGTAGCCATTGATGTTGCGTCTGTAGCCACTGATGCGTCTGTATCTGATGTTGCGTCTGTAGCCACATGTGTTACGTCTGTAGCCATTGATGTGTAGCCATTGATGTTGCGTCTGTAGCCATTGATGTTACGTCTGTAGCTATTGATGTTGCGTCTGTAGCCATTGATGTTGCGTCTGTAGCCATTGATGTTAGCGATGTTGCGTGTAGCCATTGATGTTGCGTCTGTAGCCAATGATGTTGCGTCTGTAGCCCATTGATGTTGCGTCTGTAGCCACATTGATGTTGCGTCTGTAGCCATTGATGTTGCGTCTGTAGCCATTGATGTTGCGTCTGTAGCCATTGATGTTGCGTCTGTAGCCATTGATGTTGCGTCTGTAGCCATTGATGTTACGTCTGTAGCCATTGATGTTACGTCTGTAGCCATTGATGTTGCGTCTGTACCCATTGATGTTGCGTCTCTACCCATTCAGAAATTTACAAAACATGACTGTAAAAGGACATCTGAGTGGTGGTCACGGTTTAACTGAATATATAAAACTGTCAACACCAGGATTATGTAGTTTACCCTTAAAACCTGAAAACCATTATTATTCACGTTTTCTTTGACATTTTGTGACTTATATGGTTAACTGTACTAAATGTATAAGAGGTTTTTATTGACGATTACTTTACTTTTACTGTTTGTAACTTTCCATATCAGGAAACGAACGGGAAGGATAAGGCTATTTTTGTATTATTTCAACGCTATTTTACATATATTTTTAGAAACTTCAGAGTGGCCATAAACCTTTATATTAAACCTAACCTAACCTAACCTACTTTCAGTATAGTTTTGCTATCTTATGATGGTAAACAACTCCTTAAATGAAACAGATTTTTTTTACCCCCTATATGAATTGATTTCCATTAAATTAGAGCAATAAAAACAAAATATTTCCTATTTGGCAAAAACTTCAGCTTAATTGGCGATTAACTCTGTTTAGTATCACACACACACACACACACACACACACACACACACAGTCACACACACAGACACACACAGACACACACACACACACACACACACACACACAGACACACACAGACACACACACACACACACACACACAGACACACACACACACACACACACACACACACACACACACACACACACACACACACACACACACAGACACACACACACACACACACACACACAGACACACAGACACACACACACACGAACATTTTCTTTATATATACATAGACAACTTATTATGCCTACATAGGGAAAATTACAACGCTCTGGTTGGTCGAATATCATCATAACTTTATTAAATATTGCTCTGATTGGTGAAATTTCATGATAATTTTGACAGTAAATAGTCTGATTGGCTCATTCCCATGCTGGTATTCCCAAGAGAAAATGTTACTGTCAGATTCAGAGTTATTGTGATAAGACTTTTATATCTTCCCTATGTGAGATAATTTGAGTATCTATATATGGAGATGAATACCCCATACTTTATATACATGTACTAGTGTATATCTTTCTTTATTTGTTCATTAATTTGCGAGTTGAAAGAAAATGAAGGTAATTCGTATAATGGCCAGTTAGGGGCGGGGTGGATACAGTATACTGAAGATTATGCCTTAACCCTTTGAGGACGATTGTTTAACCCTCTAAAACTCACAGGATTAACTTAGATAGCCATTCACAACTGAGAGGGATGAGGGCGCCCCAGGTGAGGAGGTGAGGATTGAGTAAAAAAAAAAAAAGACGGATTCTTAGCCTAAAGTTTATTAATAATACATCAATAAGTTAATAACTTAAATAAATAAGTGCGAGAACCAGCTCGCTGTGGGCTGCAATTATTATGATGTTTGTGGGGCAAGAGACATTGTATCATCACATCACTGTATCGTCAAGCGAGTAAGACGAAGTAGGTGGCAGACCGTGAGCGTCAAGAGTCCAAAGGTGGCGTCCACATCAGCTCTCCTTCACACCCATCCATCACCACAGTCAGTTATACACCCGCGGCCACGAGTACCCGAGTCTTCACAACGTCCAGGGCCGTTTTGACCAGGTCTTCAGGTCTTCAACATAGAGAGAATCCTTGGCCGGCTGTCTGGTATTCGCGAGCCACCATAGACGAGTCTTTGGGTCTTCAGCATTAAAGACCTTCCAAGTCATTATTTGGTCAGACCGTCAGGCATCCATAGTCTCCTAAGTCGAAGACGACGCCAACCTGGTCTCCAAGGCCATGAAGGAGAAGAGAACGAGTCTCCACGGCTGATGGTGATGGTGGCAGGAGCTGAGGAGGACGTCACGGGAGGAAGTCATAAGGGAAACTCAGTTCCTCGCCAGTGGTCGTCAACTCTCGATGTCAAGTCCAGCTAAAGACACCCCAGACGTGCACTTCTGAGGAACCTTCAACTGTCTTCATTTTTTTTAATTTTTTTTTATTTTTGTAGTATAAAATATAGATGCATTATGTGGAGAGTAATAACAAAAAGGGGACGTACTTTATAAAACGAGAAACATGTGCTAAAATAACAGGGGAATGAGGGTAAGGATTTTGATAATGAATGTAGTGATAAATCAAAGCATCACTATTACAACAGGAGGACCTCAATCGTCAACCAGAGGAGGACAGATTACCATAAGCATCATGTGGCAAGAAGGAACTCATTACACTGTGAAGGCTAACAAAGGGGACAGAATAGATCCTTCTACTCTAAATCAAATAACAAAGAGCATTACAGTAAAGGGGGTTTAAGTCCTTATACCTTGGAGGTAATTTGTGACAAGGAAGAGGAGGAAGAAGAAGAAGAAGAGGTCATTGATGGGGTAACAATAAAAATGAACGGATTTACTGTATGACCCATTGAGAACGGAACAAAAATATACCCTGAGAAGCTGTTTACATCAATATATCATCAATCAGTATGTGTCAATATCAACATCAACTGGGTCCTTATAGTGAGCAGAAGTTGTCGTAACCATAACATCAATAGCCGTCTGAGCGAGGAACCACAGGGGTAGTATCGAGTGTACGGTATTGTTGACGGGAAAATTAACATTATCAAACACATAGACTATCATCCAAATACGATATACAAAGCTTATGTACTGAAAATTCTGAATTGTTTTATTTAGGGAGCAGGGAAGGGAAGGGAAGGGAAGGGTGTGAGTTGGCGACTTATGAAACGGAATTTATACTTTCACTTATTTTTTTTTTTACGTGAAATTTGAAGCAATATTTTTTTAAGTAAATTTTGGAGTAAGGGCATTTTTCTATGTGGAATTTAGAATACCGAGCATTTACATCATAAACTTTGATGTAGCGAGAATCTATGAGGAATTGGAACTGAAAATTTACTATACGTAGACAAAAAAAAAATCGTTAATATGAAAATAATCTATAAATTTACATCCTTGTGGTAGCCAATGAAAAAATATTCTTTACTTTAACCAATGAAAATGACGTTGACCAATGAATTTCTTTCGCTGCCTGTATCAACCAATGATCTCCCGTGCTTGTGGTTCCTGCTTCAGTTAAGGTCAGTCAAACAGTTAGTTGGAGTTGGGGCTGCCGACAGAGAGGACGTCCCTAATGGCCTGTTTAAGCTTCTTCGTGGCAACGGGCGTCACCTTGCCAATTGACTTCTCCATAAAGTTATTATCGTCCCTGTCAGACCTGGTTTCTTTACTCAGCGACCCGTCAACCTGAAGAAGTAGAAGGAGGAGGAACACCCCACGGGGAAAATTTTGATTAATTCAGTGTTGTATGAATCACCTAGTACACTATCTCCACTAATCCCTTCACTACAGGAACGCCACTTTTAATATATTATTCAGCTCATAGGAGATTACACCATATACACAAGGGGCTAATAGACTAACCCCATTAATTACTGAGACAGACAAAATGGGAAATAGACAGATTGACCCCCCACCCCCCAACCCCCCCCCCACCAAAAAAGAAGACAGAACTTACGGTAACAATAGCGGGTTTTGCCACGTGTAATTTAGTCACTTTCGCTGTCCCATCAGCTGATACAAAGATATGCATTCGACCCTTGAGTGATGGGGAGGTTGCCTTGGCGTTGCGGGTGATGGCATCCTTACCGAAGCCGAACTGCAGAGAAAAGGAAATGATAAAAAGGTTTATATATTTATTTATTTTTTTATCTGTAATTCACCTGCAGTATAATTTACCGTAATTAACTTGTCCTCAATACAGTATACACATCTGTGATATTCTGTATATGGAATTCTTAGGTGTCGAGTGTATGATACAAGTGAACGTAACGAGTGAACGTAACAAGTGAACGTAACAAGTGAACGTAACAAGGGGACATAACAAGTGAACGTAACAAGTGGGTGTTATAAATGAACGTAATAAGTGAACAAAAGTGAACATTACAAGTGAACATAACAAATGGACGATACAAAATGAACGTAACAATAGACGTTACAAGTGAAAGTAACAAGTAAGTAAATTTAACCAATGAACGTAAGTGATAAAATGAACAAAAAGATGAACGTCACATACCTTCCTGGTTAACTTAAGATCGACGGGTCCAAGGGTGAACATGGAACGTATCTCCTTTCCGTTCTTCTTGTTCACCACCTTCACGTCCCCGTCACGACGCAGGGTAGCGATGCCGTTCACGGAGGCGCGGGAAGTACGTACCTGGTAGAACGACCGGAAGTAATTAGGTGGTTCGTGTGTGTGTCTACCTTGTTACTTATTTGACTGTGTCTGTCTGTCTGATAAGTTCCCTGTCTGTCTGTCTGCTTATTTGACTGTGTCTGTCTGTGTGATAAGTTCCCTGTCTGTCTGTCTGGTTGTCTGTCTGATAAGTTCCCTGTCTGTCTGTCTGTCTGTAGCTACTTCCTATTTGATTTTTTGTTTACTGATCTATTTGTCTACGGAGGTGTCTGTCTGCCTGTCTATTTGCCTGCCTAACCTGTCTGTCTGTCTGTCTGTCTGTCTACCAAGCTGGATATCTATCTACCCAGACTTACATAAGGTACTGCATTCCTTACCTTGTTCTTGTTCTTGTTCTTGTTGTTCTTCTTGTTCTTCTTCCCACCATCATTGCCCTCTTCCTCCTTCTTACCCTTGTTTTTGTTCTTGTTCTTCTTGTTCCTCCCTTTCTTGTTCCTCTTGTTCTTCCCCCCTCCCTCCTTGGTCTTCTTATTCTTGCTCCTGCGAGGGGTTGAGGCAGCCACGCCCTGACGGGAAGTCTCAATGTCTTCTTCAGCGACTTCTTCGTCAACCATTGCTTTCCCTTCACGGTCACTCTGAAACAGTGGACACCCTGTATTATTGTTCGGGGGGAAAATTTGTTGTAAGGGAAAAAAATAATTATCGTTTGGGAAAATATTATCGTAAGGGAAAATTTGTGGGGGGGGGAGGGGGAGGGAATTATTATTGTATGGGAAGAAAAAAAATTGTCACATGGAAAAAAAAAAGTCCTCAAAAGGTTTAAGTGAGAAACTTTCAAAAATAACAACAATGAAGTAACAATTCTTACCCCTTCCACCTCCTCTACTTCTTCCTCCTCCTCAGCTATTGGGGCTTCTCTCTTCTCCCGTCCTTCCTCAACCTCTACTGCGGCCACATCCTCGGCCACATCCTCGGTCACATCCTCGTCTTCGGCTTCACCAAGATCGAGGTCCTTAGGGTGTCTTTTGCCCATCCTCCCCTTCTTATTCTTCCTTTCATTCCTCTTTCCTCCTCCTTCCTTCTTCTGCCCTTTCTTCCTGAGGTAACAGAAGAGGACTAGTTAGTGATTGCGAGGAATACTAAGTGTGATTTATCGTATTGTTGTGATTTTATTTTGATTATGATTATTGTTATTGTTTTTTTTTTACTATATTCATCATCATTTATATTCTATTTGTTTTGAAAATTATTATATTTATTTGTATTTGTTTGTCAGTCGTATTGTGACTTTCTTTCTGACCCTCTCTCTCTTTCACACACACACACAGACACACACACACACACACACACACACACACACACACACACACACACACTTACTTATTTCCTCCCTTCTTGGACTTGCCGCCCTTTCTACTCTTGCCCTTTCCACCCTTGCCCTTTTCACTCTTGCCTCCCTTGTCCCTCTTCTTCGTCAGACCAATGATCAGGGGATCGAACTTTGACCTCGAGTAGGAGTTGAGCCGCCGGTGGAAGGTGTCGATGAAGTTGTTAAACTTAGTTAAGTCTTCGGGTGTGGTGGGGTCCTCGTTCCCTTCTATTTTGGCACCTGTGGGAGATAAGAGGGTCTCAGACATACATACATACATACATACATACATACATTCATATCTACATACTTACATATCTACATACATGCATATCTACTTACATACTTATCTACTGACATACAGTACATATCTACTTACCTACATACGCATCTACTTACATACATACATACATACATACATACATTCATATCTACATACTTACATATCTACATACATGCATATCTACTTACATACATACACACACACACACACACCCACATAGATACATACATATCTACTTACATACATACATACATACATACATACTTACATACATACTCATTAGGGGCCCGATAGTACTGGGAAAAGAAGAAAAAGAGAACAAATAAGATAAAAAAGAAGAAAAACACAAGAAAACAATAAACCATGAGAAAAACCAAACACTTAAATCCAATAAACCAAGACGATAGAGGAAGAAGAAAACCAAACCAAACAAGATAAAGAATCATGGTTAACAGACAAAAAATTATGATAAACCAAGTAAATAAAAACATTGATAAACTAGGGAAGAGAGAGAGAGAGAGAGAGAGAGAGAGAGAGAGAGAGAGAGAGAGAGAGAGAGAGAGAGAGAGAGAGAGAGAGAGAGGAACTAAAACTTACGGGCTTCTCTATCGACGCCTTCTTCATCGTCACCTGTGAGAGAGAGAGAGAGAAAGAGACTTGGTTTAGGTCTTTCATGCAAGGGGCAGTAGACACCTGGCGTTACCAGGTGGAGGGAGTAGTGGCAGGGAGGAGGAGGAGGGAGTGGGTTCAGGGAGCAGAGGGAGGTAGTAGGGAGAGGGAGGAAATAGATGTAAGGTGGGGGGGAGGAGGGAGCAGGGAGAGGAAATAGGTGGAGGCAGGGGGAAGGGTCAGGGTAAGGGAATAAGGGAATGGGAGGGAAGGGGAAGAAAGGGGAAGGAAGTCAGTGAAGGGTGTTAAAATTTCTCACTTAGATGTGATAACTCCATCTTACGAACTCTAGACAGATGAAATATCCGTTATATTGAAGGTTCGTTATATGTGGAATTACCTACTTAACGGATTATATGGAGAGAGAAGTCCGTTATATGGAGGTTTCACTATAATCAAAACAAATACATGCGGAGTATAACAAGTAAGAACAAAAAAGTTGAAACCGTAGATTGAGGTAACAATAGTATCACTTTTAGTAGTCAGAAAACTTTTATAAGTAACTAGCGAACACTTTCTTACTGAAATTCCTCTAGAAAAGTGTCTTATAAGTATTTAGATCGTAAGTCATTAGAAAACATTTGTTATTACATTGGGGTTTCTTTTTTAATCACTAAGACCAATGGTTTCTAATTCACAATAAACATTTGGGTTCTAAGTCACTCAAGAACGATATTTAATTAAGTTACTAAAATATAGCTGGCATTTTAAATCACTAGAGAACTATTTTTGTTTTACTAGATCTAATTACCCTTTAAATAACTAGAAAACGATTGGTTTCTCAGTCAATGGTAAACAAATGGTTTCTAAGTTAAATTTTTTTTACCTTTTTAATAACTAGAAAACAAATTAATCTAAATTACTAAAGAACAACTGTTTTCTAATTGACTATAGAATGGATGGATATAACTCGGTAGAGAACAAATGGTATCTAATTATCTCTGAATATCTGTGTTTTAAGTCATTAGAAAACACGAGACTTACCCTCAGCTGTCGTTTCTTCCTCATCTGTGGAAAGAAAACACAAAGATTAATAAATATAATAAGTAAAAACCTGGATAAATACGTCTGTACCCATATTAGAAGCCGTGGGTTTCTATTACTGAATGTTTAGGTATAATTATTAGAGACCAAATTAGATATTGGAACTGTATTGTGTCAGTAATAAAAAGATAGTTACGCCTCTCTCTCTCTCTCTCTCTCTCTCTCTCTCTCTCTCTCTCTCTCTCTCTCTCTCTCTCTCTCTCTCTCTCTCTCTGTCGTCAGTTTCATGTTACTTTATATAAGGAAAATCACAGGTAAATAAATACAGAGAGAGAGAGAGAGAGATAATGAGAGAAAGAGTACTAGAGAATAAGTGAGAGAGAGCTAAAGAGCTAAAGAGAGAGTGAGGAAAGAGCTCTAGAATAGAGAAAGAAAGATAGAGAAAGCTAAAGAAAAGGAGTTATAGAGCTATAGGTAAATAAAGAAAGAAAGATAAAATAAAGAGAAAAACAAAGAGAGAGAGAGAGAGAGAGAGAGAGAGAGAGAGAGAGAGAGAGAGAGAGAGAGAGAGAGATATGTTTTTACCCGGCACAAGCAGTTGAACTCGACTGACCAGGTACACTATACCGTCCAAGGAGTACCGCTCAGTGACCTGCTTCCGTGTACGTGAGTCTCTCTCTCTCTCTCTCTCTCTTTTTATCTGTCTGTCTTTCTCGTTCTCTCTACCTCTATTTCTGTGTGTCTGTCTGCCTCAACTTACTAAAGAGTCCAGTAAGTAAAGCAGGGAGGTCAATGTTGTCTAAGTCGTCGACCTCTACCACCTGATCTTCCTTTTCGTCCGTCACCTCCTCGGCTGTGACTCCGGCGATCAGCAACGCCAGACACGCCAGGCTGGCGAACAAGAAGCGACGCATCTGGAAAGAAAACGGGGATAATGTTATAAATTTATGAGGGGGAGGTTATGAGGGGAGGTTATGAGGGGGGGTTATGAGGGGGGAGGTTATGAGGGGGAGTTGTACGGGAAGATATTGGGTAAGAAAGGTACTTTTAGGAACCTTTGTGAATATACCATTGTATATTATATAAAATGAGCCAATTAGACACGTTTTCACATCACCATATTAGAACACAATTTAACTTAGGACCATTCAAGACTTCTCATTGGTTAAAAAGAACCAACCAATCAGATGTGTTCTAACTTATTTGCAGGGAAATTAAACTTACGAATGTTTCAGAATCGAGTAAACACGGAGTTATGATAAGAGTTCATTGATCATAAGAACTAATATGAATAAAAATACCAGTCTTGTGTTTGTGTTTTCTGGTATATTAACTGTCAGGGTCATAAACCACAACACGTTAAATAATATATTTCAAGTAAGTACAATACCAAAAAAAATTTCGTTGTAATATATGTAAGATGTGAATTACACGAAAGCGCTTGGGAACTCCGTGTTTTCTTCTTTCCTTGTTGTTATCAGCATATACCTGGATCAAGCGCACCACAACTACTGTTAGATATGAGGCAAATTATTCATTGTAAATTTACTAAAAAATTTAAATACGTAAAAGAGGAAAATGAGTTTATGTCTATTTTAAGCCATTTAGAATATTGAGTAAAAAACAATTATTTCTTATCGCTTCGTATTTATTTTGTATTTCAACTCTCAATATACCGAAGTTGTTTTAATATTGTGTGAGGTTTAATCCACGCAAGTTCACAGTCAGGGCAATGTGAATTAACCCGGGTAGAGGCAGCAGCGGAGGTGAAAACTGTGAACGCGTTAGTGTGGTTTATTTTATGAAGACATATGTGAGGTAGACAGTTCTTAGCGATACTTGGAAAGTTTCTTAACCCTGATGATGTTTTTGACCTCCTGATCCCATTTAGTGGACAACTTCAGCTCCACCAACCTCGATATTAATATTGTTATTATTATCCACTCTGTATCTGTATTTTTCTGGCTAAATAAACTGTTACAATATTTTCTTTCATATTTTATATTAGAAAGTTGCAATTTTTTTATTTATTTTTTTATTTTCTAACTAATATAGGGTAATTATTTTTTTCTCGAGAAACCTAAATTATTATTATATTTTTGAATGTGTAATAAATCAGCAGGAATAATGTTTGATAATTATGATGAATATTTTTTATCAAACTTTATATCTACTGATTCCTGTTTTAATATATAGTAATTATATAAGGTTATCGAATAAAGATATATGACCCTTTATAATATAGGCTTACTGAATATGATTCCTCAAGATTAATAAGCCATTTTAGTTGTTCAGCTGGCAAGAGATAACCAATGAGAGACCTTTTCTCCCTCCCTCCCCCTCCTTCTCAGCCAATCAGCTACGTTAAAGCGTCGTCTGAGGAAGCATTCATTATAGAACGAAATAATATATAAGAGGAAGAATATAATGAATGCCAAATAGTCTAAGTAAATAGAGCAACGGTGAAATAAATGAGGTGTCAGGAGCAATCTGTCCATGTTGTTATGTTCCGTTATGCCCCGACTCATGGGTCATCCCAAAGGCAAAACTTCAATGCCTCTTCACCTCCTCCTCCTTCCCTCAAATTATGCCACGTTTATGTCTTTCCCCGCCATTTTTGTACCACTCATCATACCCTCAGTATTATTTTATCCATTTATTTTCGTTTTTTTTTTTTTTGGTAGTGAGTCGATGGGAGTAAATCGTTAGGTATTATTCCATCCAGACTTGAATTCAAATTTTGCTCGCTTATTTAGTTTGTTAGTATTTACTTTTAACATAATTGGTCTTGGTAACTTTCCATCATTGACCGTCTTTCCGTTTAGGGTTGTATTTTTTTTTACGAGCTGATGTTATCACTAGTCTCCGTTTTCTGTCGCGCCATACAATATCCACTACCATCCAACCGCCACCACACGCCGACCTAGACAATATCCAACATCTTGGTGGTGTTAGATATGGTTCTCGGACTGTTGACAATATCCACCACTATCCACCATCGCTCTAAACGCCTTGACAACATCCGCTAGTATCCAAGATCATAATTGACTTGACAGAAATCGTATCGAATCCGGATTGTGTTTCACGAACGGTTTAATATCTATCCACTTGGCAAAGACCCTGACAGTATCCACAACTATCCAGGCACTAGTGGAAAGATATCCATATTCGCCGAAAGTAAGAAAGATTAGTATCCAATATTGTTTACGAATGGATTAATGAATGGATTATGACCCCCATTCAGAACGAAACATAATCCACCTGGGTTCAAGAACGAATCGTGCGCATCCATATTCACTGATCTTATCCAAGAACCTAAGAGTATGATACATTTTATATCCATATCCAGGAGAGGGCGACAAGATCCACGAGAATCCAAGACTGTAGTGGTTGGATATGATCTTTGTACAGCTGTTGATATCCATAAGTTATCCAAGAATGGTTAGTTAAGATCTCCAAGAACCCGACAATATCCACGAAGTCATCGGTTGGATATGATCCCCGAGAACCCGACAATATCCACGTAGTCATCGGTTGGATATGATCCCCGAGAACCCGACAATATCCACGAAGTCAGCGGTTGGATATGATCCCTGAGAACCCGACAATATCCACGAAGTCATCGGTTGGATATGATCCCCGAGAACCCGACAATATCCACGAAGACAGTGGTTGGATATGATCCCCGGGAACCCGACAATATCCACCATCACCCTCGAACGGATAATATCCCTCAAAACCCGACAATATCCACAAACGGATCACACACAAATCTATCAAAATTTCAGTGATAATGTGAACCAACTTTCAAAAAACTTTGTTGTATGGCAATATCCACTAGTATCCGCAACTGGCCACACATATATCCACCAAAAAGACGAGAATAATATGATAAAATATCCAAGTACTTCAACAATATCCGCCAGTATCCAAGACCGCAGCTATGATTCCTCAATCGACGATCATATCCATCCTTGAAGGTATGATATAGTAATCCCTTTAGCCGCGACCATATCCACGTATATCCACGAACGGCTCACACACACACATTCGTATTCACTTAAAAAAAACATATGACAAAATCCATGGTAGCAGCAGCAACAACCTGTACGCACCTTCTCACTCCGGGACCTGTGATCAACTAAAGCTATTCACCCCGGACCCACGTTATATACGCTGACCTAGACACTGTGAAACTCATTCTTGGCCGACAAACCTGTTGGTAATGAGGTCATGTCTACCAGGAACAGTTAGGTCGGCGGCGGTGGCTGGTGGTGATGGATGATGATGGTGGATATGGTCGGTGGTGGTGATGGTGGATATGGTCGCTGGTGGTGATGGTGTATATGGTCGCTGGTAGTGATGGTGGATATGGTCGGTGATGGTGGATATGGTCGCTGGTGGTGATGGTGTATATGGTCGCTGGTGGTGATGGTTGATATGGTCGCTGGTAGTGATGGTGTATATGGTCGCTGGTGGTGATGGTGATATGGTCGATGGTGATATGGTCGCTGGTGGTGATGGTGATGGTCGGTGGTGATGGTGATGGTGCTGGTGGTGATATGGTCGCTGGTGGTGATGGTGATATGGTCGCCGGTATGATGGTATAGGTCGCTGGTAGTGATGGTGATATGGTCGCTGGTAGTGATGGTGATATGGTCGCTGGTGGTGATGATGGTGGATATGGTCGGCGAATAGTGGTAGTGATGGTGGATATGGTCGCTGGTGATGTGATATGGTCGATATGGTCGCTGGTAGTGATGTGGTGGATATGGTCGCTGGTAGTGATGGTGATGGTCGTTGGTGGTGATGGTGGATATGGTCGCTGGTGGTGATGGTGGATATGGTCGCTGGTAGTGATGGTGGATATGGTCGATGGTGGTGATGGTGGATATGGTCGCTGGTGGATATGGTAGCTGGTGGTGATGGTGGATATGGTCGCTGGTAGTGATGGTGGATATGGTCGATGGTGGTGATGGTGGATATGGTCGCTGGTGGATATGGTAGCTGGTGGTGATGGTGGATATGGTCGCTGGTAGTGATGGTGGATATGGTCGCTGGTAGTGATGGTGGATATGGTCGTTGGTGGTGATGGTGGATATGGTCGCTGGTAGTGATGGTGGATGTGGTCGCTGGTAGACATGGTCGCTGGCAGATGTGTTTCTCAGGTTCCGGTAGACAGCCAGCCGGGGTCGTGACGCTCGTAATCAAGGAAGAATGTTCATGAGTTTCCTACCCCTCCTTTCCTCCCCCTCCTTCCCTCCCCCTCCTTCCTTCCCCCACCTCCCCCCCTTTCCATCCCCTCATGCCTGCCCCTCCCCTTCCCTTCTTTCTCTCCCTTCCTTCCCTCCCTCCCTCCCCTCTTCATTCCTTCCCCCTCCTTTCTTCCCCCCATCCTCTCCTTCTTCCCCTTCCTCCCTACCTCCCTTCTTTCTTCTCTTCAATTCTATTTCCTGTTTTTTCTTCATTCTTCGTCTATTGTCGGATTTTCTTTTCTCTTTCAATCTTTTCGTTACTTTTCAGGATTTTTTGGCATTTTTTTTTAGTTAGTATTTTTTGGCGGTATTTTGTAATCGTGTGTTTTCTAAGTGGATATTTTTGGTGTGTGTTTTCTAAGTGGATTTTATTGTTTATTTTGTGTGTTTCCTCACGTACACACTCATATCCACACCCACGTACATATCCACACAACTTACATATCCACACCAATGTATAGTACATATCTCCACCTCACATACACAACCATATCCACATCCACGTCCACAACCCAAATCCACGTACACGCCTAATAATACTACGAACATGCCTAAATCCACATATACACAGCCACATACCCACGTACACAGCCCCAACTCACATACATAACCAAATCCACGTCGTACACAGTTTCATCCACGTCGTACACAGCTTCATCCACGTACACAGCTTCACCCACTTATACATCCAGGTCCAAGTTAAAGCGGTAGGAGGAGAGTGACCAAATATTAGCAACTGGCACGAACCAACTCAGCTCAAGTTTTTCTCGGTTCTTTAAGGTTCAATTGGCAGATGTTCTCCAAACTAGTTACGATCAGTTATGGAACAGCGCGGAATACAATGTCATTCTTCTTCTTTTATTTATTAAGTGATGAAATTCGCCTTGTTTTAAATTTATATTGTGTTTTGTGACAGAGTTTTAGTGTGTGTGTGTGTGTGTGTGTGTGTGTCCTGTTGACCATTGATAAAATTATCTTTGAATGAAATGAAATTGATGTTGACGGTAAATTATATACAATGCTTCATTCTGCTCACAGTCAGGACGAGTCACGGAGTTTATGTGGAGTGGAAAAAATAATCTAGTTGGTCATGACTGGAAAATTACATAACGATGAGAATACATACATGCATACATACATACATTCATACATTCATACATACATACATACATACATACATACATACATACATACATACATACATACACACATATACATACATACATACATACATACATACATACATACATACATTCATAGATAGATACATACATACATACATACAGTACATACATTCATACATATATACATACATACCAACTGGTCAAGTACAGCTACAGACAATAGTCCCTGGACACTGTTGACAACATCAGTGTCAAGGACGTAAGAATTTTTAACATTTAATGAGTACATTTTATTTTGTCTTTGATAGAATGATTATATTATTTACAAGTTATTATCGTGATGTAATTTATAATGGAAACAAACTCAGTCTATGACCCACAAATGTCAGGTGCTATAAACCTAACCTAACCTAACCTAACCTAACCTAATCTAACCTAACCTAATCTAACCTAACCTAACCTAATCTAACCTAACCTAACCTAACCTAACCTCAATACAACTAAAACTAACCTAAAAAGAGTCCACCTACTTTTCGATATCTCTCCTATTCTCTCAACTTCAGGCCATGATGACGTCAGACAGGTAAAAACAAGACCAACTACCTACAGTACCTACCTACCTACCTACCCAACCTGCGTACCTACTTAACCTAACCTACCTACCTACCCACCCACCCACCCACCCACCCTGACTCTACTATATACTCACCTGTAACACAAAACACTCCAATACCTACATTCTTCCATCCTCTCATTCCATCCATTAAGAGTTTGCTGAAGACTGACTAACAAGGTAACAAAAACTAATCTTACCTGCCTCAATAATTGTACTCTGCTGTAACACACAAGATTACAGTTAATACAGGGTACATACCATCACATACCATCTTTCTTTCTTTTGTTTATTATGAGAGCGTATCCAATATGGCTGACAGACCGGAAATGACGTTATAGTAATGTAGAGTGACATTTCATTGACGTACTGGAAATTAAGTATCATGGACAGTCTTGTTATGTATATCCGGTATTTTTCACATGGTCGGTATGTAAATAAGGTGGAGGAAAGGGGGTCTCTCTCTCTCTCTCTCTCTCTCTCTCGCTGACCGTACGTACGTAACCTCATTCCTCGCTGTCTCAACCACGTCCGTATTTGTCCGTTGTGCGTGGTCTTGGATCCATGACAAGGAGGGATGGGGAGGGGAGAGGGGCGAAGGGGGAGGGGTGAGGAGGGGGGTAAAATTGGCTGATATCGTATGTACAATAATCATTAATTATTTCACAGTTAGCCTCTGACGGATGCTCCCACACACATGACCGTATTGAGAAAGCATTTAACAAACCCCAACAAAAAAAATAACAATAACAAACAAAAAATAACAAGTTTTATTGTATTTAACTGCATTAATAAACTCAACAATACATTAATGTATTTTTTTAAGGTTAAACGATATATTTTATGGTATTAAGTCTTCCTTAATCACCAATACAGTCACTTTCTCAATATTTCTTTGTAACAAAAAAAATCACGCAATATTTTCTTGCAATAATAACAGTACAGTGAAAACCTCTATTTAACGGACTATATGGTAAAGAAAGTCCGTTATATCGAGGGTGTGTTAGATGTGAAACCTCCATCTAACGGACTACAAGGGGGAGAAAAATTCGTTATATCAAGGGACTATTAGATAATAAACTCCCCATCAAACTGATTACCTGGAAAGACAAAAATCCGTTATATCAAGGTTTCATTAAGTATCACCCTATTTTATCAACACTAACAAATAACAACAGCTAAAAATAACAAGAATTACCATGTATCGTAACAATAGTTCAGTCACATGACCCAGAATGCATCTCTCTCTCTCTCTCGGTCAGCTGTGGTTTGGACACGACGTCACCAGAATGCCCAATGTAGTAGGATCGTTCTCTGAGTAAGGGGCTAGGAGAGGCAGCCCGTGTTCGTTGAGCTGGTGGCCTGCTTCCCTCCATCTCTCTACCGTGGGGTCCTGAGGGGGAGGGAAAGATAGGTGACATTGTGGTGAAAATTTTTTAAACATTCCCCCAATACTTTTCAGAAATATGTTAATAATTTTTGCTGTGTATGAATATCGAGTTGGATTTGTATAATGAATGTATGATATGTTAAAAATGACGGTAAATTTGTCAGAAACGGTGGATTTTTTTTTTTCATGGTAGATTAATTTGGTTCAAAGTGTTTAGATATATGTAGTGATTCGGTTTATAAATATTAACCCAAGAATATTTGCAAATGCTAATAACAATAAAATGTGACCGTGTGTATGTGGGGGGGGGAGGGGTGGAGGATGAATGTGGATGTATGTGTGGGTGTGTGTGGGTGTGAGTGGGTATAGGTGTTAGAGGCGGAGGTGCAAGAGCGAAAGCCCGAGGAGTGGGTCAGAGATCGTGAGGCTGTGGTCACCTGCCCGGATCATCCTCCCACACACACACACAGAGGGAACTCGTCCTTCTGCAAGAGAGGGAGAGGAAGAGGGAGAAGGAGAGGGAGGATAAGAGGAGGAGATCGAAAGGGAAAATACAATAATTAATGATAATAGAAGAAGAACAATACATGATAATATACACACACACACACACACACACACACACATCATTCCCACTGTGTGTTCACCGCCCCTAAACCTTATCTTCTCCAAGCTGTGTTCATCCACGTATGCAGGAGGGAGGCTGCACCTTCATTATAAATGCCATGAAGAGCAAGACACATGACCCAATACCACTTACTGCACGACCGTATGCTATAAAGGTTCCAACACCGTTATCCTGATGTTATTTC